AACGAGAATCGGGAGTTAAGCTAAAAAGCTTTCAATCAGACGGAGGAGGAGAATACACCTCACAGAGGTTCAAGGACTACTTGGCAGAGAGGGGAATCAAGCGACTCATCTCCCTTCCCTACGCCCATCAACAGCAAGGTGTAGCAGAAAGGATGAACAGGACACTCCAAGCCACCATGCGCAAGCTGCTACGTGGCATGCATCTGCCCAACCACCAGTGGCCCGAAGCAATGGACCACGCCGTCATGCTGCACAACTTGCTCTCGTCATCATCGCTCCCGAACAACGCATCACCGCACCTGCTGTGGACAGGAAAATTGGGCAGCACAAAAATGTTGAGAGTCTTCGGCTGCATGGTACAGTACCGACCCCCATCTGCACGCGCCGGCCGATTCTCCCAACGAGCACAATGGGGACTACACCTGGGCATCGAAAAACACTACAACGCGTGGAAAATCTTCGACATCAACAGTAAAGAAACAGTCGCAGCACGTGATGTCCTTTTCTACGAGAACCTCACCCTCGACGTTCACCTCGCGTACGTGAGAGCCAACAGACCTGACCCCTCGGGCGGATTCACTGGAACCCGAGCCTTCGCTTCGGCAGAAGACGAAGCTGACTGGGACGAGCAGAATGTGGACAGAGCCTCGGAAAAAGCCGGACCTCTCCCCTACTTCTCAGTGGACGTCCCGATGGACGACGAAGAAAATCCTCGCGAAAGCGTCAACGCCGACGTCTTCTACGACTTCGCCGACAACGGTTACGTTACACCTACTAAAGTCAACACCAACGAAACAGAACGCGTAGGGCCCAATTTCGCACCTGATCCAGAAGCTGGAGACGAAGCAGTTTATCCCGAGGACACCACACTCCCCCGCTACACACAGAGTGGACTCCAGATACTTGGACTCGTCACCGCAGTCCACGGCGCCGCCATTCCTAAAGAGCCTGCAACGGTTCAGCAGGCTCTGGGGGGGGAACATAGGGAAAAATGGCGCGAAGCCATGGACAGAGAACTGAAGGCATTAGAGGAGCGCAACACGTGGAAAGTCGTTCCCATCGGCGTAGCACGAAACAAGACCATTCTCACCGGGCAAAACCCCCCGCGTGAAGACGAAGGCTGACGGCACCATTGACAAGTTCAAGGCGCGCTGGGTCGTGCGCGGCTTCGATCAGGAGCACGGACGGGACTTCACCGAAACCTTCGCTCCGGTCAGCCGCCACACTTCACTTCGAATTCTTCTCGCCATCGCCGCTATGAAGAAGAAGAAGTTGCGACAAATCGATGTCGCGGATGCATTCCTCTACGCACCTGTTGACGCAGAGATTTTCGTGGAGCTACCACACGGCTCCAACACAGACTCCACGCATGTCTGTCAACTGCTCAAGTCGCTCTACGGAATCAAACAAGCCCCGCGACTGTGGCAACAGTACCTGCACGCTCGCCTCATCCGCATCGGCTTCAAACAACTCCCGCACGATCAGGGCATGTACCGCCTGGCTCACAAAGAACGACGACTACATCCTGCTGATCGTCTACGTGGACGATCTCCTCTACATCGGCTCTATCAACTGACGGCATCACCACATGGTTCGAAGGGGAGCTGCAGCAGGATCTCACTCTCACAGTCTCATCTACCGTCACCCAGTACCTCGGCCTCAACATCCGAGAAGAAGAAGACGCGATCTACCTCAACGCCGCGAAATACGCCGACACCATCGCCAAACGGTTCACTCTCACGCCAACCGCCATCCCCACACCATACCGCTACACGACAGGAAGCAACAAGGGAGGGTCTACTCTACTCAAACCCGCCGGCATACGCGACTATCAACGGAAGCTAGGCTGCCTCCTCTTCGCAGCCGTTACCTGCCGTCCCGACCTCTCATATTCCGCAAGCCAGCTCGCTACCTACCTCAAAAGGCCTGAAGCAGAGCATCTAGCGGAGCTCGACCGCGCTCTTCACTACCTCGTCAGCACCTCGACAGTTGGCCTGACTTACTACAAGAACGCAACTACACCAACTAAGTTCATCGGCTACGTCGACGCCGATCACGCCGGCGACTCCGACAATAGGCGCTCGCGCACCGGCTGCATCTACCGTCTCGAACCTATCGGCCCTATCTCCTGGCAGTCAAGCAAGCAGGAGTTAATCGCACTATCATCAGCTGAAGCAGAATACATCGCACTCTGCTCAGCCACCAAGGAAGGCCTTTATCTTCGCGAGCTGCTGGAAGAAGCGAAGTTGGCCGAGTTACCCAACTTCACCCTGTTCTGCGACAACCAGTCGGCAATTCGCATCGCCAACAAGAACGGCTTCGCGAACAGGACGAAACACATCGCCCTGCGCTACTTCTTCGTAAAGGACGAGATCGAGAAGGGGAGACTCGAGCTGTCATACTGCCCCACGTCCGAGATGGCAGCCGACTATTTGACCAAGAAACTCGGGAGGCAGAAATTCGAGTACTGCATGCTGCTGACTGGACAAAGCCACGTCATCAGCAGCGACACTCCAGAAGCGAAGGGGAGTGTTGGAAACAGTAAATCTTAAGCGCTTCTGTCGTGTCGAAACATCGCACCAGAAGTGAAGCAAACCTTATCGAAGCACCCGCGAGTTATTCCTCGGAGGTTGAGAGGTTGCTGGAGGTTACGCGAAAGTCAAAGGTCAAGCGACCTTTGACCTGACAAGTGCAGCGCGACAGTTAAGGACACACAACTGACTCGTTACAGAGCAGTTGCCCGAGTCGTACTGTATCAAACCGCAACAGCAACAGTAAATTAGTTACAACCGTATCGTTTCGTATTCCTTGTACTATTATATATTCTTGTATCTCTTTGCTATAATCAACTTACTTTGCCCTCACATACCAGCGCAAGGTGGTTCACAAGTTCTTCATTAACGCTTCCGCTATTACATAGTTTCACCCAGAGTTTACCCCTGAAAAGATCCTAAGGGCTACTTTCAGCCCAACAATGCGCAGCCCTCTCACTGGCATCAAGCTGGCAGGGTTTGGTGCGGTGCAAGGGAGGTGATGGTTCCGGGGCTGTCGCTGCTGGCGCCACATGTTGACGGCTTAGCATTTGTATTGTATTCTGCAAAACTTTATGACACTTTCATTACATGCTCTCTATCACAATCCCACAGTATAGATGTGTGTGTGTGGGGGGGGAGGGGGAGGGAGGGGGGTGTGGAGGAGGAGGCTACATGCATGCCACATTGGTAGAGGGGTGAGGCTTTAATAAAACCCATTGGGGGTGTTTTATAACGACATGCTGTTCTCAGGTCAAAGATACAAATAGATGTGAGATGGTTTAGAGCCAGTTGATGCAGTAAACCGTGATTGGCTGGCAGGCTCTCCTCGTTCGCGATTCTCGTTACACGCTGCCCCCGTTTCCATGATAGTCAATTTCGCAGGTGTTCGTTTTTTAATCATGCACCACAATTTCGTCTGTTTGGCAACTGTCCCAAGTGGTACATGCTAGGACCGTTGTGTACTGTACGGAAACCTACTGAACCGCACTGAGCGATTAGTATTAGCTGATCGTCAGGCTCCTTCCTGCCAGTCAAATCTGGCTTTGCGGGCGGACTGCACGGCATCGGGGATGACGACACCACCAGCAGCAAAGCCGAGCCTCGCATTACTCACATGTACTTATGGCGGCAATACCGATGCTGTAGAAACCAACGGAAGCGGCACCGATGGTGGTAACACCCTATGCCGATATTTAACGAATAGCACGCGACAAAAATGACTGCCAACCTTGGTCAAGCATTCGGCTGAAGAGTCAAGAATCATCTACAGAATGCAATGTCTCATATGCAGAAGCGCGAGAGGCAGCAGATAGGCGTCTTGGAGTCCTTATGTTCGCCGGCTCTCATCTTAATACCTCCGAGTAGGATCAATCTGGTGTAATCACGTGAAGTTCTTTCTTGGGAGATATTACTACCCTTGTGGTCGGCTGGATTCGGTTCTGGTTTGAGAAGATTGGTTGAAGAATGGATTCTTATGCGGGAGATACTACGGAGGAAGCTTCGCTATTTGATCAGCGTCGTTTCGACGGAGATTCGAGCCAACATCCGACTGGAAACCTAGGCCGCGGTTTAGCGGATCCTGCGATAGATTTTAGTGGGTGTGAAGGGATCGAATGCTTCGATATCCTCAACACCGATACAGCTTACCACGAATCAAATTCTCTTGCAGCAGAAACCGCTAGCGGGGAAGGTCAGCCACGTGGTGACGTCAGAAGCATACCATCTGACGTGGCAAACCCATGTGTAATGGTGATAGGTGACGTGGAAATTCCGTTGGTGATTCCTCCTGGCTCGTCAGCTGACTCTCCCCTTAACGCATGCGACTTGGAAGCCATTCTTGACACGTCACCTTCTGACATGGATACCCTGATTGACACGTCACCAACAGCTCAAAGCACACCCTCTCCAACTAAGCCATTAATCCCAGCTGAGATTGAGAGGACTAGAGAAGGCCCATTGTACAAAACTAAGCCTATAGCAACACTAGTACCAGCGAAGCTTCCTTCCAGAGTTGAGAAGCTTCCTTCCAGAACTACAAATAGTACCAGGGACACGTCACCCCCTGGAAAGGTTCGAAAGGGCGACCTGACCACCCGCCTAGCGTCACTAATCCGTGGAATCTCTTCCAAGCCTCGGCCTGCGGCCCGGCCTGTGCCAGGCAGCCGAGCCACACAATCAGGCTCGAATAAGGGCTCGGAATCAGGCCCAGCAAGCGGTAACTCAGGTACGAACTGTAGCAAGGTTCGGGCAAAGGGCATAGAAGATATCGGCCTTGCACCTGACCAGATAGTCATGCTTGAAAGGACAACCATGGGTTCCGGTGCGAGATCAGTGCAAGGGGAAGCGAGCAGGGAAGCAGAGGGAACAGTTGTTGGAGGGGGAGGGTTACCAACAGCTTGGGGTGACGTGCAAGGGGGGGTTGGAACAAGAATGGCTGTGCAAGGGGGGGTTGGAACAGGAATGGCGATGGAGATGGTGAGTGTGTTGCAGAGCCTGTCGTCTGGGCTTGAGCGGCTGAGGGAGCTGCAGGAACAACAGAGGCAGCAGAGGCAGCAGCAACAGAGGCAGCAGCAGCAGATCCAGATGCAGTGGCAGCAGGAACAGCCGACGCTTCAACAACAGCAGCAGCATAAAATGCAGTGGCAACAGCAACAGCCGATGCAGCAGCAGCAGCAGCAGCAGCAGCAGCAGCAGCAAACGCAGTGGGAGCAGCAACAGCCAATGCAGCACCAGCAGCAGCAGCAGCAGCAGAAGCGGCAGCAGCAGATGATACAGCAGGAGCAGCATGAGGAGCAAGAGCAGAGGAATCTGCAGCTGCTGCAATCAGCACCACCACGGCATGGGAGATTGTGGCAGCAGCGGCAGCAGCAGCACGGTTCTGTCCCATTCCAACTGTGTGAGACCCAGCAAGTTCGGCTGTCAACTCAAGATGGCTCACCCTCCCAGCCCATCCAGCATCCACCCAGCCTCGCCCTCTCTTCACGTTTCCCCAGAGCTATCCCCACTTTCCCATCCTCTACGCAACGCCCCATCTCTCAAAACCAGCCCCTCACCACCGCTCTCCACCTGCGCCCAAACCTTCAGTTTGACTTTTCCCTCTTTGCGGATTCATCCTTCCGACGAGTGGGCATCCCCTCACAACCCAGCAGGGAGGAAGAGAGGGAGCGGCGGCTGAGACAGCACGTGCTGAAGCTAGCAGAGGCGCACGCAGTGGGGGACTGGGCGCTGGCGCGGCGGTGGGGGAAGAAGGTGCGGGGGGAGGCGAGTGAGAGGGGGGATGCAGTGCAGCGAGTGGCATGGTACATGCTGCAGGCTCTGGAGGCCAGGGCGGACGGCACTGCTGCTGTGAAATGGCGAGAGCCCATTGAGTTCCCGGTCAAGGTGGGTGGTTTGGTTTCTCTAAAATTGACTTCTGGTGTGGCTTGCACTGTGGCTTGGGGCACCTCATAACGCCTTTCTACCGCTCTCCACCACTCTTTCCCTCCCGCACACGCTGCAGCAGACGTGATGGCGGCCATAGGGCATTCTCACGAGACCGACATTGCGTATACCAACTTCGCCTTTGCTGCTCTCCTCCACAAAGTGTCTCGTGTTCTGTGTATCACAAAATCCCCTGAAAACACCTCCCTATCCCTCTCCACCCCTTTTTACCACACACAGAGTGCGGCAGATGTGATGGCGACAGTGGGGCACTCCCACGAGACCGACATAGCGCATACTGTCTCCTAAATACCCTCATATCGCCTCCCTATCTGCCTCTCCTCCTTCTTCCTCTTTACCACATGTTCCTCTTTACCACACACAGAGCGCAGCAGACGTGATGGCAGCAGTGGGGCACTCCCATGAGACCGACATCGCGTATACCAACTTCGCCTTTGCTGCTCTCCTCCACGAAATACCTCTTGTTCTGCACACCACTGCCGCACACACACCACCACTAGCAACACCAGCTGCAGCGGCAACAGCAGCAGCAGCACCAGCTTCAAAAGCAGCGGCAGCAGCAGCAGGAGCACCAGCTTCACCTGCCCCTCCCCCCTCTTCCTCCATTCCTCCCCACTCGCCCCCTGCCCCTCCCCCACGCCGCATTCACCTGGTAGTGTTTGGCATGATCGGTGCGCCTCAATGGGCTTCCCTGCTCTGCCGCATTGCCACTGCCTGCGGCTTCCCTGCTGCTGCTGCCGCTGCTGCTGGTGCTGCTTCTGCTTCTGCTGCCGCGTCTCCTCCTATTGCAAACCCACAAACCAGCACCACAGAGGGTGACCCTGCCAGCAACAGCAGTAGTAGTTCCACCTGCTGTATGTGCATTGAAAGACAGAGAAGCACTGTGAACAGCAGGAGTGGCAGCAGCAGGAGCAGCGCTAGGGGCAGTGGCAGTGGCAGTGGCAGTGGCAGTGGCAGCAGCAATGGTGGAGGGGATGTAGGTGCAGTCACATGCAGCGGGTGTGGCCTTTCAGAGTCTGCTGCTTCTGTGACTGCCGGTGCACATGCAGTGCTGTTGGCAGGTTTGGAACGGGAAGCTGCAGAGAAGGGGGGCACAGATCAGCAGCAGCAGCAGCAGCAGCACCACCACCACCACCATCACCATCATCATCAGCAGCAGCATCAGCAGCACCAGCAGCAGCAGCAGCAGCACCAGCACCCACCCTCCCCCACCTCCGTCCATCCCCGTTACAGGCATCAATGGCGGCACAGTGCAGCAGCAGCAGCAGCAGCAGCGTACCCCACCCTCTCTCCATTCGCTCGCCCCCGCCTCTCTCCATCCGTGTGACGGGCATCAACGGCGGCGTGGTGCAACTTGACTCCGCCTTCAGTGCCTCCACCTTCGGCCACCAGTTCTTCGGGCAGCTCGCAATCGTTTTGGGGCTGCCCGTGACGTTTGAGATGGTGGATGTGCCTCTGGAGTCGCTACATCCGGGCATGGTGAAGGTTCAGCCGGGGGAGGAGGTGGTGGTGGTCTCCCTCTGGACGCTCATGCTCTTCCCAGATGACTCTGTTCTCAGGCACAACCCACGAGATGCCGTGCTCAAGGTGAGATGCTTTGCTTAGCTTGTAAGGAGGTTGAGGGATGCAGGTGAGTGAGACTGGAGTTGGCAGGGAGAGGAGGTGGTGGTGGTCTCCCTCTGGTCGCTCATGCTCTTCCCAGATGACTCTGTTCTCAGACACAACCCACGAGATGCAGTGCTCAAGGTGAGATGCGGTGCTACATGGTGAGATGCGCCCTCCCTCCAGTGGATCCAGGCTCTTAGACCGGGCCCTGTGTTCCTAGAAGAGTTGTTTTTTTAGTTCACTCAACTCCCTCCCCTCCCTTCCATCCCAACCCCTAATAACCCCTCCAAACCCTACCAGTGGATCCAGGCTCTTAAACCACGTCTTGTCCTTCTAGCAGAGGTGGACGCGGCCCTCAACGGCCCCTTCTTCCTCGCCCGCGTGCGCGAGACCTTTCGATCCATGCTCGCTTTCTTCTCAGCCGTCCATGCCACCATGCCCGATTCTGCCATCTCGCCCGTCCGTTTCATCTGGGAGACGATGCTGTTCCGCGAGCTCATTAATTGCGTCGGATGCGAGGGGATCCAACGGCTGATACGCGCCGAGAGGCTGGAGCAGTGGCAGGAGCGGATGCGGAGGTTAGGGTTTGAGGAGGTGGGGCTGGGGAGAAAAACACAGGCTGCCATGAGGGAGACAACGGAGGGGCGGGATGGGAGATTTGAAGTGGTGTCGGTGGGAGGTGCGGCGAGGCTCATGTGGAAAGGGCAGCCGGTGCTGGCTGTGTCTGCTTGGAGGTGATTGGTGCATGTGAGAGCGGGAGGTGATGGTGCAAGCCAGGGCCATCACTCGTGTCACATGTCGGCTGAGCCATTTCACTAGCTGATGTTTGCTTAAAATTAGTAAATAATGTTAAAACTTCTGCCTTGTGTTGCTGTTTCCAGCTTTCTTTGAACGTAATCAGTACTCATTGATGAGTATTTGACATACTTTTTACTCACCTTCACACATGCAGAATTCCGTTATCGTCGAACAATTGTCAACGCTGGGAACTGTATATTCTGTAGTTGTATCGATGTTTCATTTCCCTCGGCTCCCCAATCCCAAGGTTGCGTCATGCTTCCCGCCATTTTGCGGGTGGGTAGACTTCCTCCACCAGCTCTTGGTAACCTGACGAGCAAGGAAGGTAGTGAAAGTACTCTCGAGCACTCCAGCGAGGATTACCGCGTGAAGCCCTTCTTTGCCTCACCGTGACCGTACGCCATAAGCGAATAGCTCGAAGCTGTCAATGTGCGTGGGTTATTGCCCCTGTTCGCGCTTTTCTGCCTGTAGCAATATAGCAGGCAAGCAAGGAGTTCAGGAACGCAGCAGACTCGCACGAAAAGCGACCTCGAGAAGTGCTTTTGGCTTTCAGACTGAATCTGTTTATTCGGCCCAGCAGCTTAGGCTTTTAGGCACGTAGCAATCGTACTGCGGTAGTACCTTACGACGATGGCCGTGTCGTCACTGCCAGCAGCAGCGGCGCTCACGGCTTTTCGAAACCGGTGCGTGACGTATCGCGAGTGCAGTGTCACTGTCTTCACGCCAGGTGCAGTGTCGCGGCTCGATGTTTTTTTTTGAAGTGTTGTGGTTATGATGTCGTAATGCCTTACTATTACGATCGTGACCTCGACGTTGTAGCCGCGTGTGTCGCATAAACACAAACGAGCAAGGCAGTCGTAACTGCCGCACCAAGCCGCTCTTTAGGAAACTGCTTTAACCGACAGACTGACCACGCATGCTAATGTCAATGCTGATACTTTTCTGAGTCGATCCAGAAGCAGACTTCAGGTTTCCGTACTTCGATTCTCGTATCTTCCATCTCGTCACCCGTACTGGCAGGTCGCCAGGCGACGAAGAGCTATCAGATAAACAGAGCGGATTGCGGGAGGTTGTTCCCACATCCCACATCCGCGATACCCCCATCTCCCAACCCTCCCCTTCATCCACCCGCTCCATATCTGCAGGTCGCCAGGCGAGAGGGAACTGTTCCCCGAGCTCAAGGCCATTCTGGAAGTCACTGCCGTCACAGGCACCGTCTGGTGGGTGACGGATTCTGTCTGCTGGTTGACGGATTGTGTTCTGTTTGATGGAATCTGTCTGCTGGTTGACGGAATTTGATAGTTGTCACACAGACTCTGTTAGCTGGGTGATGCCTGGGTGACGGGTTCTTTTGGTGGTTGTTAAAACCTGGTGGGTGAGTCGGTGGCGAGAAGAAGCTCCCTTCGGTCAGGGTTCAATGCAATTTTGTAGTCACTGTCCTCGCAGTCACGTTTTTAGAATCACTGTCCTCACAGGCACTGTCCGCTCAGTGATTTTCTTTGTTGGCTGACGGATTCCGTTAATCTGGTGACGCGTTCTGTTAGTCTGCATCATTGTTCGTGTCGAAACCTGACCAGTTAATTGGTACAGAGAGGAGGGTGGGTGCGGGATTGATTGATTCAGTTAGAGGAAAGACAGGTTCTGTCTGGTGGATGACAGGATTTTGAAATGGATGAAGGAATTTGCTTAACACTTTTTTACTTGTCGCTCCAGCGGATTCTCCCTCCTTCACCTCGTTCTGAGGCACTTTGAATTATACACTTTCTTACTTGCAGCTCCAGCGGATTCTCCCTCCTTCTCCTGCGTCCCTTGACCCCTTCTTCCGGTCGGTTTTTTTCCCTGCCCTGGTTGCTACTCAGGCATGACTGGGAGTCCGTGAGGGAATTGCTCGGGTTCACCATCTCCCAGGTATGGACTTGGGGTGTAAATTAGAGTGGGTGGACTTGGGGTGTAAATTAGAGTGGGTGGACTTGGGGTGTAAATTAGAGCGGGTGGACTTTGGGTAACAGAGCGGTGGCAGGAATGGTTTTCCTTCGGCCCGATTCCCGCTCACTACAGTCCCCCCCACCTAGGCTCCCCTCACATCAGTTTCCCCCTCTCCCGGCTTCTCCCTCACCCCTGGTCCCTCTCGCCTCGCCCATTGTGCATCGAAGTTCCCCTCCCACCCTCCCCTCCCACCCTCCCCTCCCACCCTCCCCTCCCACCCTCCCCTCCCCCCTCTCCTCCCACCCTCCCCTCCCACCCTCCCTCCCACCCTCCCCTCCCATTCTCCCTCCCACCCTCCTCTCCCACCCTCCCCTCCCACCCTCCCCTCCCACCCTCCCCTCCCACCCGCCAGGTCTTGGAGAATACGAGACAGAGCATGTAGCAGGGGTGGGTCCTCCCACCCTCCTCTTGTATCTCGCGTCTGACAGGCGTAATTCCTCCCACCCTCCCCTCCCACCCTCCCTCCCACCCTCCCTCCCACCCTCTCACCCGCCGCCACCTGTCTGGTCCTGAAGGAGTACGAGACAGAGCGCGCGGGTGGGTCCGCCTCGTGTCTCACGTGGTGAATGGTGTCATTTCTTCCTCCCACCCTCTCACACGCCACCCCTCAGGTCTTGGAGGAGTATGAGACAGAGCGTGTGGCAGGGGTGGGTCCGCCTCGCCCGCTGCCATCCGGGGAGACGTTTGCCGAGCTCAACGAGCGCATCCTCTCACGTACGTGTGCGCACTTGGTCACAGTACCACCCAAACGTTCTACTGTCATTAACAGCAGCGTGTGCTCCTTTGGTCACAGCTGCTTTCTCGAAGGATCTTCACAAGCTGCTGCCCGTTCAGTCTACGTGACTGCTGGCCTGCCGCCATCAGTCACGCAGAAGGGTCACCATTCACCATTCACTGTTCTACTGTCACTACTTCCTCAAAGGATCTTCACCAGCTGCTGCCCGTTCAGTCTACGTGACTGCTGGCCTGCCGCCATCAGTCACGCAGAAGGGTCACCATTTACCATTCACTGTTCTACTGTCACTACTTCCTCAAAGGATCTTCACCAGCTGCTGCCCGTTCAGTCTACGTGACTGCTATCCTGGTGACTTCTGAGTCGACTCAAAAGTCACCTCGCAAGCTGCTGCCTGTTCAGCTTATCTGACTGTTGGCTTGCTGCCATCAGGGGAGGCGTGCGTTTGCCGAGCTCAGCCTGCGCATCCACTCATGTGCTAGTCGCCATTGTGTGTTTGTGTGTGCAGTTTGACATTGTACTACTACGCATGCGTGTGAGCTGCTATGATGAGTGCTTTTTTTAGTCGACTCAAACATCAGCTATTTCATTCCCCCCTCTCCGCTGCGTTCCTCTTTTCTCCCCAACTCCTTCAACACTGTAACACAGACATGCATGGATGAGAAAGGACAAAGGATGTAATTCTTAAACACAGAGAGGGGGTTACCCTCTTCTCTTCTTCATCTCTCGTCCCTCTCCGCCTCACTCTCCCTTGCATCCCTCTCCCCGCTCTCTCCCTTCTTCCTTCTCTCCCCCATCTCCCCTGCACCCCTCTCCCTCCTGCATCCTGCCCCCCCCTCTACCCGCGTCTTCCCCCTCTCCCCTATCTTCCCCTTCCCGCCTCTCCCCTCTATTCCCTCCGTGCCTTTCGTCCGTCCCCACACACAGACCTTGTCGTGTTCACAGAGGAGGTTTGTTCACAGAGAGGAAGGGTGAAAACACACAGTTGACCATTCACCATTCAGCAGATCTGTGTGCTTTTACCCCTCCTCTCTGCGACTCTCCCATGCTCCCCTCCCTGCCCCCCTCCCCAATGTTTCTGCTTTCTCCACAAGCAGACCTTGAGGCATTCACAGAAGGGCCACCATTCACCATTCACCGTGTGTTTCCGTCGCTCCTCTCTGCTCCACTCTCCCTTACTTCCCTCCCTGCACCTCTCCCCATTGCTTCCCCTCTCTCACGTGTCTCTACTTTCCTTTCCCACCTCTCTCCCCCCTATCCCACGCACAGACCTTGAGGCATTCACAGACGGGCCACCCTTCACCATCCAACACGTCTGGGTCTTTGTGCGGTCCCCGCCTCTGCGCTCTCCCCTGCACTCCAATCCTCCCTCTCTCCACTGCACACCTCACCACCCCTCTCTCCCTCTCCCCACGCACAGACCTTGAGGCATTCACGGACGGGCCACCTTTCACCATCCAACGCATCTCCGTGTGTTCTGATGTTCCTCTCTCCTTCACTCTCACCTGCTCCCACCCTCCCCTCTCCCCACGCACAGACCTTGAGGCATTCACGGACGGGCCACCATTCACCATCCAACGCATTTGCGAGGTGTGTGTTTGTACTGGATCAGATCAGTTTGAAACATGTGTGCTTGTTGTACTCAGCTTGTGAGAGGTGTGCTTGTATCAAGTCAGCTCAGCTTGTGAGAGGTGTGCTTGTATCAAGTCAGCTTGAGGCATGTGTGCTTGTATCAAGTCATCTTGTGAGAGGTGTGCTTGTATAATCAGCAATCCATGCTCCTGCTCCAGTTCACACTACCATTTCTCTTCCTGCTGCAATTTCACCTGTTTTTTCACCCGCTGCAAATCCACCTGTCTTTTCTCCTGGCCGTCTTTCAGGTGCTTCTCAACCCTCGAGCCACCTACACCAACCTCAACCGTGTCGCCTTTGCTCTTGAAAAGGTTTGTCCAACTCATCCCACAAACCATTCTCTTCCACCCTTCCCACCCACCCTTCCCACCCACTTTCCACCCAATGTTTCCACTACTGTTTCTACTTCCCGTTCCTTCCCTTCCCAGTCTCTTTTTTCATCCCCCTGCCTCCCCTGACCTGCCTATAGCATCGGGCTTTTTGCTTCCTCTTTCCCGCTTTTCATCTCTCCACCCTTCCCCTCTCCCTCTTTCCCGCTTTTCTCTCTCCTCTCCTTTTCTCTCTTCCCTTCCCCCCTTTCCCCCCTCCGCCCTTGCAGCTGCTCCTGGTGACCTCCTCCGCCCCGCCCCCCACAGCCCCGTTCCCCGCCCTCCCCCTCCCTCCCGCCCATCTCCACCGCCTCTACCTCACCTCCCCTTCCTCCTCCTCCCCCTCCTCCCTCCCTCCTCCTTTCCAAACCTCCCCACCACCCTCAAAGCCCCAGTTTCCAAACCAGGGAGGCAGGGCAAGGCAAGACGGCGGGGGAGCAGCAGGACAGGCGGGGGAGGGTGCGGAAGGGGGTGGAGGGAAGGGAGACGATGAGGAGGCAGGGGAGGGGGGCAGTGCAGCAATGGAGACGGATGAGAGGGGGGCCGGGGGCAGGTCAGATTCTCCCAACATGAGGCCCGGTTCCCTTGACATTGCCCCGCACTCACCTGAGTTTGCAGGATTCTTTCGAGAAGTGGTGGTGGAAGAAGCAGCTATGGAGCTGGGTGGGGGCGGTGGGGGTGCTGGGGGCGGTGGGGGTGGTGGGGCTGGTGCGGGCGGTGGGGCGGGCGGTGGGGCGGGTGGTGGGACGGCGGAGGGCGGGGCTAGGAGCAGTGGGGGTGCCCGGGATGAGGGGGTGGGTAGTGGCACTGCTGGTGGTGGTAGTGGTGTGATGGCGAGGGAATTGGTGGGGGCGATGCGGGCAGCAGGTAGAGAGGAGCTAGTGGTGGTGATGGTGGGGAGGGTAGGGTGGAAGTGGGGACGATGGATGAGGGGAAGGAGGAGGAGGGGGAGAAGGAGGAGAGGGGTGGGGTTGAGAGGAGTGCTGGGGAGAAGGGTGACAGTGGGAGTGAGAGAGCGAGGGAGGGAGGGGAGGAGGAGATGGAGGAGGAGGAGGAGGCGAGCAAGTGGCTGGTAGATAACCCCCCTCCTGTTGCCTTTGGACCCGTGTCTCCCACGAGGGAGGAAAGCAGGGAGGGGAGGAGGGAGGAGGGAAGGGAGGAGGGAAGGGAGGAGGTGAGGGAGGAAGAGAAGGGGGAGGAGGAGATGAAGGGGGAAGGAGGGGGTGACATGAAGGTGGAAAGAGGGGGTGATATTCGAGTGGAGTGTGAGGAGAAGGCAGTAGAGGGGGAGGAGGATGGGGATGGTGGGAGTGGGGAGGGAGAGGACTTGGCGGGACATGGGCAGGGGATGGAGGGAGGGGAGGGCGAGCAGATGAGTGTAGTAGATGGATGAATGTAGATGAGGACGACTTTGGGGAAAGGGATGGTGCAGATTGAATTTAGTAGATGTCACCCATGGGATAGCTCAACAAAGCATACCTAAAGCTACCTGCACATGAAGGTTACAGAAAAGTTATTCAAGTCTTGTTGTTTTAGTATGGTTTACATTATGCTTTAAATTGGAAGACTTTCATCATGGACCCCTGTCACGAATCAAAATGTCACGTGGTATGTTTGTAGAGCATATATTTCCCACGCCTCTGCAAAAGATCCACACCAATGGCATCGCCTAGTCAGCACGAGTGACGTGCCAGCTAACGGATCCACTTTCTGGCGTGTCACACCACCCTTATGACGCGGAGAATGTATTTGAGGTTCCGAACCTCGCATGGTGCCCAACAGCATAGGCACACAGCGCAGCAAAAAGGAACTCCACTATTCGTCAATCTCCACTTTTTGCTTTTCACTCTGAACGAGCCTGTCTTGTGTTCGCAATGCAATCATCCCCTCGAAACAAACCTAGCTCCTCGTAGTTTGGCGCTTGGGCCGGTTATCGTGCGACTTTCGGATCTGCCCTGATTCTCATCACATCAGGCTGAGTGCCTGACCGTTGCGTTAAAAAACTGGGTAGAATACAGAAATAAACGTAAATTCAACAGCTGTTCTTTGTAGGAATGGTAGCTGTACAGTTTTGGCTTCGACAAAACCTTGAGCTTTGACACAACCAGACCTGCTCCAACCTCTCATGCGTCTCTTGTATTTCCGCCAAATCGCCGTTGCCTGCTCTGCTTCCTGCCGCTTTTCTCTAGTTTTCCGCCTGTGTTGTCTTTCTGCTCCTCGTTCCTGGTAGCCGTTCGACCCTTGACCCTATCAGCAAACTTCTTCTTCTGTTCTTTTACCGGTTTAATACAATTCTTACTTCGCACGTTAGACTATTGTTGGCGACTGCTTGTCATTCCTGGATCTTCTCATGGGGAGCCATGTTCTGCCGTTGTGCGGTTTCACGCGGTCTCTTGTTCCAGCAAGATTAGACTCGGTCCAAATCGAAGCCGATGCACCAAGCGGGGCTCAACAACGGCGTAGAATAGTGTGCATGCTCTCGAGTGACGGCACTTTCCCTCCAAGGCACAAACCCAAGTCGCTTGAGCTCCCTCGAGCCGTCGCACATGGGTTCCATTCCTCTCATGTAAGACCCAGTATTCCATCATAATCTATCTTAACATTAACTTTTGCATGCGTTATCCCATTTCCACCTTTCCCTAACATTGCCGTCATTTCCAACCGTTGGTAAACGCTTGTTCTTTTCCGTGTTCCACTGTTTCAAACGATTCTGCAGGATCTAGCTGACGAGGAGAAGCAGAGGCTGATTGCGGAGGAGATCGTGAAGATCGAGCAGCAGACGAAAGCGAGGGAGGAGCAGTTGAAGCGGGCCGCTCTTAAAGCCCATTTGGATCACGAGCTACGGTTCGGCAAGATAATGTTCTCTCAGGTGTGTTTAATTTGCCTTTGTAACTGCATCAAGTAACCACGTCTTGTCGCCGTTTCATGCGATTTGAATCCAGTTTGAGGCCGTACTAGTGACATTGTTGTTTACGCTTGCTTCCGTTTTATCTTCTGTCTTGATTCGTGCTTATGGCGACGTAACAGGAAAAATACACCACGGCCATCGCGCATTTCGACAAAGTGCTCGGCCAAACAGAGGACGACTCGTATCACCATGGCGAGGCCTCGCTCCAGAAAGCAGCGTGCCTCGAAAAGCTCGGCTCGCACGACGAAGCGCGTCGCCTCTACAAATCCCTCTGCCATTTCCGCGGCGCGGACCACCACATCAAGAGACGCGCCGCGCAAGCCTTATTCGAAGGCGATTCGCACGATCCCGCGAAGCAGCGGCAGAAGGAGCAGGCTCAAAGCGAAAGGTCGTCGCTATTAGACGACTACATGTACAAAATGTTTCTGACGGGCTTTGGGAATTACACGTTGAGTGGGCGGAAGCAGGAGGAGTCGCGACAGGAGCGGATGCTGATGCAGGCGCTGCCATGGATGCTGGTCCTTATGGCTCCTGCTATGGTTGTAGGCCTCATGCTGGCCAAGGGGGGAGAGTAACTGTAGCTAAGGCAACCCCTCCCGATCCTCCCGGATTAGTGTTGCTGAGGTGGAGAGTGGTTGTGGCTAAGTGCATATGTTTCTTCAGGCGCTGCCGTGGGTGCTGGTGCTCATGACACCTGCTTTTGTTGTTGGGCTGGTGCTGTCCAAGGGGGAACATTGTTGTTGGGCTATGGTTGTAGGGCTGATGCTGGCAAAACGGGAAAGAGTGATTTTCGTACGAGGGGAGAGATATTGTGGTGAATTGGGGGCTGACTCTGGCTAAGGGGGAGAGTGGTTGCAGTTAAGGTTGGGGTGACTGGCTATGGCACGGGTGCTGCTGCAGGTGTGGCTATGGACGCTTGTGGTGCAATGTGGAAACCAGGAGGGAGGGAGAGGCTTGTGTTATAGATATGTTGGTGCTGGTTCTGACACTGGTGCTGCTGACTGGTTCTCCTGCTCCTTTCAATGTTGCTGCTTTGTTTATAATGTGTGTCTGTGTGCATAGGCTTGCTGTTTATGTAGATAACTAGTTGATTCTAGCGTACAGTAAAACAGATGCAAGTGTTGTTTCCAGATTAGTTACTGCTTGTTCATACAATGCACCATATTGTTTCTCAGATCTCTTTTACACCTCAGTCTTACAGAAGTAAAGTATGTTTTCTTTATTACCAGTTACAATGAAAGAGACATGCAAATTAGATCCTACACTGTCAATATATTCTTACACTAAACATCTACTCTCCCTGAAACGAACCAACTCCTGAAGTTTGGATGACAGATACCCCACACTGTGCTCCCCCCTTATCTCAACCTCCTTTAAAACACTAGGAGCACTAGCCACCTCTTCTGGTAACCCAGACAGGTTGCTCCAGTCTATAAAGCGTATGAGGGAGAGGGAAGGGGAGAGGGAGAGTGAGGGAGGGATAGTGGTAAGCCAAGAGAGAGGAGGGAGGACGAGAGTGTGGAGGGTGGGGATGAGGTGAAGGGAAGAGAGAAGGCTGCTGTTAGCGTGGATGTTGCACAGGCGAAGGGTGAGCGGAGGAGCAGCAGCAGCACCTCCTGTAGTCACACTCTTTATAGTCACATCTGCTTCAGTCAGTGCATCAGCAGCAGACACACTGTCTACAGTCACACTGTCTAATGTCGCACTGCCTGCAGTCACACTCTCTGCAGCGTTGTCAATGATCAGGTCTGTGAGGCTTGGGAGGGAGGCTAGGCGGAGGAAGAGAGGGAGAGGCATGGAGGGGAGGGAGTTCAGCTGCAGCACTTGCAGATGGGGGAAAGGGGGAAGGGGTTCGAGTGGAGTGGAAAGGGAAGGGGGAGCGGCAAGTCGAGGAGAGGAGAGGGTGCAGGGGGTTTGAGTGGGTCGGTGTGAGGAATGTGGGGAGTGTGGGGAGTGTGAAGGAGGGAGGGGTGGGGAGAGTGACAGATACTTCAGGTTGGGAGCTTCTTGGCTCAACAGAGCGAGCAACTCTGCTGCCTGCTGCTCCACTGTGCTCCGCTCACCGCTGCTGCTGCTGCTGCTGCCGCTGCCAACACCAATGCTGCCACCGCCATCACCCCTGGCGCTGTTTCTTCTGCTACTGCGCCTGGTGGATTCCTCACACACACTGATGCTGAGAGAACACAGTTGCTCCAGCGCACGCTGCTGCTGCTGTTGACCCCCAGCTGCTGTCTTCCGCTGGCAAAGGGAGCGCAGGTGATGGCAACTCTGCACGTGCCTGTGTGCGTGTAGCAGTTGGCAGAGGCAGAGGGGCGCGGGAGACTCGGTTGCTGCACCGCTAGCACCAGTAGCTCTAGTAGCACCTGTAGCACCGCTGGGACCGCTAGCACCGGTTTGAGAGGACGAAGCATGCGGGCAGACTGATTGCTGGCCCAACGATGCTTCACCGCTCAGTGGTGCTTGTGAGGGAGGGACAGGAGCTGGGTTGGGGTGGAGAGCGGTGGAGAGGGAGAGAGAGAGGTGGCGCAGGGAGGGGAAGGCGGAGAGGGAGGCGAGGAGCGCGGAGGGGCAGGCGCGGGTGTGACAGAAGCGGATGGAGTGGAGGGAGAGGCGGGTGACTGCAGGGAGGTGTGCGCCAAACGAGGGGAGGAGGAGGTAGGCGATGTCTAGCTGCAGCGTGCTGAGGTCCGCGAGCGGAGAGCGCGGGGGGAGGGAAGATTGAGAGGAGTGGGAGAGAAGAGATGAGGGAGGGGAGTGCGCACAGTATGCGGGGATGAGAGGCGGGATGGAGGAGGCGAGAGGTGAGTGAGGCGACTCAAAAGTCGCCTCTTCTGGCGTTACCACGGGGCTGGTTGGTGCGTGAGAGAGGACCTGGGGGTGGAAGGCGGGTAGAGTGGCGGAGGAGGCGGCGTGGGAGAAGGGGCAGTGGGTGGCGCCGGCTGCACTGGAATGGTGCGATGAGTGGGCGGCAGCAGCAGGAGTGGTCGCGCCACCAGGTGCAGAAGGAGGAGGTGCAGGAGAAGGAGCAGCCGCGGCAGCACCGTCGACAGCAGCAGCACGTGGCGGAAACGGAGAAACGGGAAAAACGTTTCCCTTCACTTTCACCTCCTCGGGCTGCATCGCTCCCTTGGTCTCCTCGGACTGCACTTCGCCGTTTGAGTCCGTGTCCTGAATCGGAGGGGCTGCGAGCGGCGCGAGGACTTCGAGGGTCGTGAGACGGCTCATACGCGCCACGTGGCAGTACACGTTACAGTCACACTCGCTACAGCACGACCCGGTATCCAGCCGGAGCGACTCCAGGCCAGTCAGCGACCACAGCGACTCGGGGATGACTGCTGATGTGGCGTGGCGGCGGCTCCCTGCGTGGCGAGTCGGCTCGTCCTCGTTGTAGGGAGTTCCTTTAGGAGCATGGTGCTTGAAGAAGAGAGAGGTCAGCGACGGCGCGAGGCCGGCAAAAAGGGCCGACGAGAGGACGGCAGGGGAGGCCGGCAGCGCTGCGTCGAGCTGCGTCGGCAGCTGTAGGCCGGCCATAACGTGGAGCTCGTGCGGAGTGAGTGATACGCTATCAGGCGATACGCGATCAGGCGGCGGCGGGTGATAAGTGATCGTTAGGGAGAGCGACTCGAGGCAGGTGAGATGTGAGAAGGGCGATCCGGATTGGAGGAGAGGCTCCGCGGGGAGGGAGAGCGAGAGTGAGAGGCGCTTGAGACACTTAGCTAAGAGAAACGCTTTGGGAAGAAACACGAGCGGGAGAGCAAGGCTGGTGAGGCGGGAAAAGCAGCGCGCTACGATCCTTGGAAGAGAAATATTGCTGTTGCCTCCGCAATCATCGCCGTCCCCGCCGCCGCCGCCGCCGCTACCGATGCTGTCGAGCTCGTTCAGAACGACGAACCTTCCTTGCAGGTGCAGCGCCGTGAGTCGCGGGCAGCCTCTCGCTATTGCCTCCAGGCCTTCGGCTAACCCGCCCGTGCCTCTCACATCGGGTCGCGACACGACCTCTAAGGCGCACGACTCGAGCGACTTCAATCCACCACCGACCGGCTTTAAACCTTCGTCGCATCTCTCCGTGCATGCGCCACCGACGATGCTGCTACCAGCGGCACGGCTCTTCCCCTCACCTCCTAAGATCTTTAGGATCGGGCCCAGATGTTCCGCGCGGCATGCCAAGCCGACGGACAGCAGGTTGGGGACCTGCCGAACCAGCTCCCGAACCTGGTTTCGCGACCATTCCTTCGGGGAACTCCACAGGCCGTGGGAGAGCCGCGATTCTTCGCCACGTGGCAGAATGCTATTGGATTTTACCGGCGCTGTGATCGCCGTCCAGCCCTCGATAATGGAAGGATCGCGATGCGCGACGAACCCACGGTTGCTGACGTCAGCCAAGAAGAGAGTGGAGTGCGCTTGAACGGGATTGAAGACCGTGGACACGTGGCGCACGGCCATTGGAGAGACGCGGCGCCATGCCTTGCAGACGCAGAGAGCGGAAACGACGTCCTTGCGATCGCGAAGCTTCTGCAGGATCTTCGCGACGATCGCATCGTCTATTCGCGAAATCGGGGACTCCAGCGACGCCGAATCGCCGCCTTCGGTTACGTGCTTCCGTAAAATCGTGCTTTCACAGCCCATCTCGAGTTTGCCGTCGTGCGCTAGTGATGTATCTCGTAACGCAAACTTTCCCCGCTATGTATTGAAGCCCAAGTTCAATGGCCAAGTGCTAGCGGCTTCCACCTTCTCTGCTGCACTCGGAAACTGCTTATTAGAGTTGAGTTGTATTGTGTGTACTCGCTGGCGCTTCAAGAGGAGCTACAAGCTGGGGCCTGGGTTGGTGGCAGAACGGAAACGTGTAGCAACTAGGTAGTAAGTCGTGGTTACTTCAAAGAGGGGGTGGGCGAGGCAGCAGAAGAAAACAGGTGGTGAGGTGAGGAGGGCTGGTTGGTTTCGAGGCCAAATAGGCGGACTGACGAAAATGATCAGTTCAGTCACTTCGGTTCGCCATGGCGCGGCGTCACGAGTCGCGACGACGGGGCTAGGTTGTGCGGTGCGTCAACACCGCGCGGAGACTTGGCGCCAGTTGTTCCGCTGACCGGCAACAACCACGTGGCGGAATTGACTCGTCAGCAGCTGTCAAGGTTAGGGGACGAATGGGAAGCTCCAATTCGTTGAAGTTGGTGTACGCATGAGGGTTCACACGTGTTCACGGCAGGCAGCACTTTGTGGTGGGCCAACATCATAGACATGCAAATTAGTCTGGTAACCCTATTCGATGGTATGCAAAACCGTCGATACCCCAGTTCTGCTGCGCAAAATTGTCTGGTAGCGCCACTCAAAACACTGTGTAACAGCTGACGCAGCACAGAAAAGGAAGAAAATATGGGATTGAATCAGTTGCGTTTTCGATTTCGTATCGTCGTGGTTCTTACCGCGTCTTGTTCGGCTGCTGACAAATATTCCTGCCAGCTACTATTTTCCGCTAAATGTGACGAAAAATCCACTGGAATGAAAGGCTACGGGGTCCATTTCGATAACATTAATTTGGACCAATATATTGCTACCGGGAAATGTAGGGGCAGGGCAGAAAAACAATAAAACCCCTAGGGACCTGGACGCATTTCTGGGAGGGATCAACCCTAAACACGGGAAAGGACATTGTTTTTAGGGTTGATGCCTCCCTGACGCATCCCTTTCCGATCGGGTTTTATTTTTTTCTTGGCCCGAAGAAATCACGTCTTAGCGCGAAGGCAAGCGCGGTAAAGATCAAATTTGAATTAAAAACGAACGTGCTTTTAGAGCAGCATGTCAATAACTTGCAAACAGAGGTAAGACGGTTTTGCATACCATTGGATAGGGTTACCACACTAATTTGCATGTCTATGATGTTGGCCCAGTGGTTGTGGGGGACGAGGCGCATCGCGGTGCTTTTCACGTTTCGTTGCGCAGAATCCTGTCGGTGAGCCAACTCAGCATCGAGAAGACGTGGAATTCGTGCGACCGGCACAGCAAGGAAAGGTTGTCTGGTCTCGCTCTGCGCGTCATTTGATTGGACCTTTTTGGGTCGCCGACCACAAATGCTCGCCGCTTGAGCACCCTCGTTAGAGTGTATTGACTTCCCACCATTATTGTTCCCAATTCCCCATAAGACAATAACAAGTAAAGCACATGGTATGGTAGTTGTTTTGCTCACTATTGACTGTTCTTGTTTGAAGGTCCGCATGTAGCTTTGAGGGGCATATGCGGAACGTTTTCGGTTTCGTACACAATCCCCTTACAAGGTCCTTCAAATACTAGATGGTAACTTGGATATGTGCAAGCAAGCAACCTTACAACAACCCATAGATGTTTCTCTTGGAAGAGCAATGTCAGTCAGACTTTGAGCTTGCATATGCAAGCAAAATGGCAGAGAGTACAACAGGGGACATGATGATTGTGAGGGCAACGGCCAAGCTGGGCGATTCGGTAAGCTGCGGCACAATAAAGAGGCTTCCATACTTGATCACCACCGCTCCCACCACGCACCCCCCTAGAGCTTTGGCGAAATATGGCCCGTCGTCCTGATATGAGGGATGGGAAAATGGGGTAAGGTTGAGCAGGGATGGGGTGCGAATTGAGTGTGAAGCGGAAGCATAGCTTAGCATAGCCTGATGGAAGGATAGACAGCACGTGAGGAAAGAGACTTTGACAGGCTGGCAGAACATCAAGTTGAAATTAGGTCAGCAGACAAGGCAGCCAGCCCCACCACCCTCCAAGACTTCTATTTTGCACCTTTCCCCTTTTCCTCCCTTTCCCCTTGATCCCCGCCTTCCCTCCTTCTCTCCCCCCACTCCCACCCCAACCTCCCCCCATCCCCCCCAACCCCACCCCCACCCCACCCCACCTCTCCTCTCCTCTCCCCCCACTCTCCCCTCTCCCCTCTCCCCCACCTCCTCTCTCCCCTCTTCCCGCGCCCCCCCTCCCGCCTTCCCCAAACCCAACACGCCATCCCCAATGCGCGGAGTACCTTGGTAAATAGCGGGCGTTTCTCGGCCGCTTGCCCGCGCCCCTGACCGCCTTCACCCTGGTTCGATGCCCTCACCACACCTCCTGCACTCCTGCGCTGGACCGTCAAACTCCGGAGCTGCCGCTGGTGGCCCTCGCGCCTCACAGGGAAAGAGAGTGAACTTGATGATAGGGTGTGACGGGGAGCCGTGAGCGCAGCAGAGGGTGACGTTGTTGGTAGGGACGTCATTGTTGCTGCTGACGTCATCGTCGGTGGTGAGTCACGTGAGCGAAGGAGCTGACGTGGCGGGGGGTGACTAGGCCACGCGGACAGAGGACGCGGGACGTGATAAGGCTGAAGGAGGAAGATGCGGCGGGGATGGTAAGTGGTAGCAATATAGGGTAAATGCTAACGGGAGATGTCGCAGGAGTGCTACAGGTAGCACCTCACTTCCCTTTTGTTTATTTTTTCTTTGCGTCGTGGAAGTCTAAAAAGAGAGAGAAAAAAATGAACGACAAATAAGACAAATCCGTTTTAGCGATGTGAGGAAAGTAGTAGCTAGCAGCTAACTAAGTTCAGAAAATTAACGAGATCCCTCTCTAACGAAACGGAATGAGAGCAAGCTCCTGCTGGCCCTGTCCTGTGAAGTACTGCCCGATAGGTCCCGCCCGATGCGCGGAGACAATTACGTCGGTCTAGATAGGGCAGCAAGGACGAATGTCGAAATGCTGCCGCTCATCTTTTTCCACACATGGGGGGAAGATTTGGCGGGAGGAAAGGTGTGGTTCTGGCAGGAGGATCGAGGGTTGACGAAAGCAACTCAACCTAACGAATTCTGAAGGAGCGCTGCGAAATTAGGGAACGTCGCGAGTTCGTGAAAATCGAGTTGGGGAGGATTCAGATTGTCAGGTTTTCGGCAGTCACGAGAACGTATCAGTGACACATTTTTCTAACGGAGCTAGCTATCTTGAAAGATCGCTGCGTTCGTAAATGTCAAGGCCTATAAGGCCAATCGGGATAAGTCTAGTTCTTGACCCGGGTCTTGAGTACCCAAATACCACTTTCTGAACACGCCTTGAAACCCACACATCTCTTCTTGATCCCACAATCCATCCCTTTCACCCATAGCACTTGGCCACACAGACTGATCAATAATCTGATGTTGCATTTCTCTTCGGCACAAGTCACTTTCTGACTGACGTCTTTCAGGCTCAGCCATTCGCGTCCCGACGTTGTAAGATCGCCTCCCTGCTCGCACGAGCTCCTGGTTTTATCAGGCTCCTGATTTCTAATCTTCCGAGGCGCCTCGAGATTAGTTGCCAGTTTTTAAAGGCTTCTGGTGCCTGGTCGTATCACCTTCCTCCAGTCTCACCGCGATCGCCGGCTCACTGAAATTCTTTTAAGGTGCCTGTCCTGTCCAGCTGTCATCAAGCAGCCTACAACATGACGGTTTGATACCAGCGTCGTTTCACTTACCTCTCAGCTCCGCTTCAAATTCACCACTAGATCATTCAGGACGCCAATGCGAAGTAGGTCCACAGGAATCTCACAGGAAATCGTCACGATTTTTATCAGCAAGTCGCCCGGCAGTGCCCCTCACAATCCATAGTAGCCACCAAGAACTCGCACGCCCAGGATTTTCCTACATTCAGTGATCCCACCAATCCCTCACCTCCTTCCAGAGCCTCGTTACCTAGCAGACTACCTCTCGTTCTCCGTAGCTCCATCATCCCTCGTTCTGAGCCCAGTCTCAAAAATCGGCGCCAGCAGATATCGAGGCGCCTCAGAAGCAGCCCACTTCTCGGTCTCCTGGTCTTCGTAGTCTCCATAGCTGCATCGTGCCTCTGTTCTGAGCCGTACCTCGGAAATCGGCGCCAGCAGACTATGATTGAGGTGCCTTAGGAGCAGTCCACCTCTCAGTCTCCGTACCTGCATCATGCCTCAGTTCTGAGCCCTGTCTAGATCTCGGCGCCAGAAACGCGTTTTTTCACCATGCCGCGCCGATTCCCCGCAACATCCACCCCTGCTGCTATCTCCCCCCAGCGCTTCTCACGGCTCACAATCCCCTCTCGGCCTGTCTCCTCCACCGCTTCCGCCGCTCTGCTGGCAATCGCCAGATCAGCAGTCTCGTGTCTCACATCCCTCGTTATAGTCATCTCCGTTATATCATCCTCGGTTCCGCTACAATCGCATTTCTTCTGGCCCGCACAAACCGCCTCTCAATTCGCTTCTTTAGCTCGATCAGATTCCCTCTCGTTACAATCACAATCCAATGGCGTTCGGTTGTTGGCGGAGGCGTGGAGGGTCAAGGAGAATCCTCTTGACAGCGCCAAGCATCCGCGCATGGTTACCCTGTTCTCCGTGGAGTGCGGGCCTTACTTTGACTGGCAGACCGTGGGGCTCATGCACAGCTACAGGTGGGGGGGATGTGTGTGTTTGCGCAGGCATGTGTGAGCATGTGTGAGTGTGCACCATGCACAGCGCATTCGCGCATGGTTACCCTGTTCTCCGTGGAGTGCGGGCTTTACTTTGACTGGCAGACCGTGGGGCTCATGCACAGCTACAGGTGGGGGGGATGTGTGTGTTTGCGCAGGCATGTGTGAGCATGTGTGAGTGTGCACCATGCACAGCGCATCCGCGCATGGTTACCCTGTTCTCCGAGGAGTGCGGACCGTACTTTGACTGGCAGACTGTGGGGCTCATGCACAGCTATAGGTGGGAGGGGAGAAAGTGTGGGTGTGTGCGTGCTTGTGTGTGTGTGTGCGTGCATGTGTGGGGGGGCCAAGGGAGGGGAGAGAGGGGTGGGGCTTATGCACAGGTACAGATGTGGTGAATGTGCGTGGGTGGGAGACAGAACGGGGAGCTGTGCAGAGGTACAGCTGGGGTTTTGGGGGGAGAACTAGGGCGGAAGGGGTGTGGGGATCTGTCTGTGTGAGCAAGGGTAAGGGGGAGGGAGTGAGTAGCGCGCTCATACACGGCTACAGTCTTTATCACTAAATCAGTATGTGCAGTGCCCTGTGATACACATCTTGCGCCTGCCTGCCTTGCATGTCTCATGTGTGTCCTCCCCTCCCTCTGCTTCTCCCTCTCCAGGCGCAGCAAGCAACCGGGCCCCATTACTCGCCTCCTCAGCTGCACGGAGGAGCAGCTGAATGACTACCCCAACATGGACCTCGCTCCCACGCACTCACCCCTCCTTGTGCTTCCACTCGCGTGTCTCATGTCTGCCCACCCGTCCTGTGCTTCTCCCTGTTCAGGCGGAGCAAGCAACCAGGCTCCATCACTCGACTCCTGAGCTGCACCGAGGAGCAGCTAGAAAGCTACCCCAACATGGACCTCGCTCCCACGCACTCACTCACTCCCTTCCACGCACTCACCCCTCCACGTGCTTGCATGTCTCATGTCTTCCCACCCCTCCCCCTGCTTCTCCCTGTTCAGGCGGAGCAAGCAACCAGGCCCCATCACTCGACTCCTGAGCTGCACGGAGGAGCAGCTAGAGGATTACCCCAACATGGACCTCGCTCCCACACACACTGTGCCCTCTATGAGCATCAACTACAGGACCGGCGACTGGTAGGACTCCTGTGGTGTGAGGGGCTAGGTTGAGTGCGGTTTGAGGTTGTGCTGCCCGGATGTTGATGATGTTGTGTGGTGAAGATCACAGTACATCACAGGAACGGAGGAGCAGCTAGAGGATTACCCTACCATGCACCTCGCCCCTACGCACATTGTGCCCTCTATGAGCATCAACTACAGGACCGGCGACTGGTAGGCCTCCTGGCTGGTACTCAGCAATCAACAAGCCCTATGGAGTGTGGCACTGGGTGCAGCACAGCCCTTGTCTTCCCTCCCTCTTCTTCCCCCCTCCCTCACTCACTCCCTTCCTACCCCTCTCTCTTACCCCCCTGCAGGTCTCCAGCCATCAACAAGCCGTATGGCGTGTGGCACTGGGTGCAGAACTGCCCACAGGCGCAGCAGGCGGAGGGGATGGTAGTCTTATCTCTTTTCTACTCTGCGGCCCTCTTCCCTCTTCTTCCTCCTCCCTTCCCCTCCCTTCTCCAACCCTCTCTCCCCTCCCTGCAGGTATCCAGCCATCAACAAGCCCTATGGAGTGTGGCACTGGGTGCAGAACAGCCCGCAGGCGCAACAAAAAGTGGGTGGTACTGTTTTGCATGCCAGTATGTGCCCTCATCCCTCCCCTCCCTCCCATCCCTACCCCCCCCTCCCCGTCCCCCCCCCTCCATGCAGGTATCCAGCCATCAACAAGCCCTATGGAGTGTGGCACTGGGTGCAGAACAGCCCGCAGGCGCAGCAGGTCGAGTGGGTGGTGATTCTCGATGCTGACATGATTATCAGGGCGCCTGTCACTCCGTGGGGAGTCAAGGCGCAGAAGGGGAAACCAGTGGCCGCTTACTATGGGTATGTGCGAGCGAGGGAACATCACTTGTAAAGATGGGGCAGCAGCAGGCACGTTGGCACGCATGTATTTGTGTGTGTATGAACACAGCAGGCGGAGAGGGTGGTGATTCTAGACGCGGACATGATTATAAGGGCGCCCATCACCCCGTGGGGAGTCAAGGCGCAGAAATTCAAGCCAGTGGCCGCCTATTACGGGTACGTACGTGTAGTGGGCTGTGGGGCAGGAATGGAGGAGCTTGGTACCAAGCTCACAACCGCCCAGTTGACGTGCCTGTACGTGTGATCAACTGTGATCAACCGTTGATCAACTGTACCCAGCTGCATGCGCAGCACCCCGAGCCGGGCTGTGGCCCAAAACAGGCGGTTTCATCGTCATGGAAGGCCAGCGTTCATTCTCCACCCTCCCTGTTCCCCCTCCCCCAAGTTATTTGATCGGCTGTGACAACGTCTTAGCTAAGCTGCACACCAAGCACCCCGATCTGTGCCCCAAAGTGTTCTCCCTCCTCCTCCATATCCCCCCCGCCAACTCCCACTTGTCTTTTCCCTTACCCCAGCTACCACATCGGCTGTGACAACATCCTAGCTAAGCTACACACCAAGCACCCCGAAGTGTTCTCCCTCCTCCTCAGGGTTTCCCCCGCTCCTCCCTCCCACTCCTGTCTTTCCACATCCACCCAGCTACCTCATCGGCTGTGACAACATCTTAGCTAAGCTGCACACCAAGCACCCCGAGCTGTGCCCCGAAGTGGGCTGCTGTGGGGGCGTTCCAGTCTCCCTTCTATGTGCTTCCACCCTTTCACCCAATCACTGTCCTCTGTTCCCTCTGTCTCCCTGCTTCCACCCTTCCA